TCAAGGAACTGATTTTTCTTCAAGGCGCAGGAAGATATTTGCGTCCTTTGTCCTACTAAATATTTTTAGTGCTTACACCGCATGTGAGATCTCCTCTCAGGAGCTTTGGCCCCTGGTACCCCATCTCTTTCCTGCTGGAAAGCTGTTAAGAGGCCAAGAAAACTTTCTCCTTTGTGGAAAGTCTCCTCTGCCAAAGACAGAGACCTCTGATTGAGCCGTCTGAAGGTCTTGCATTCAGCTACAGAAATTGAAGTTTATGCAAAGGCTGTATTGTTGGTAGGATCAGCTTTTGGAGGTGACTTTTGCTGCTTCCTGTGGTGAGTGTCTTAGTTTCTTATTTGCTGAGCTAATGCCCTACTCTTTTGGTGTAGGATTCTACTAATTTTATGTGCTATCTGCCTTACCCTTATATATAAAGATTTATTTTCTTTTTAATTTAAAGACCTGTAGGAGAAGGGCCTCGCTGTCTCTCATCAGTGAAATCTGGTCCAACTGCTTGAGGGCCTTGAACTGCTGCATCCTGTGCCTGCCTCGAGAGAAGCTCCCGGAGTTTCTGCCCCGTTCCTGCTGGGCTGAAAATGGGAGAAATCAAAGCAGCAAACATGTCTGTCTTACTCCATACGGCTTTTCTGAGGGGAAATATGCAGGAAGTAACTTAGTTTCATAGTGGGCAAAAAGTGGTAAGAGTTGAAGGCTGTTCCCTTTTTCTACTTCTAGTTTTCAATTTTGAAATACCGCATGGACTGGCTGTTTACTTTATACAAGGTCACTTAGAACCTGAGTCGGCATTTTGCTGATTTCCCAGGCTCTGCAGATATCAAGGTCAGGTTAGGCTTTTATTAGTTTCTTAGAGTAGTTTGTGTTTCCTTTCTTGTTGTCTTTTATATGTATTTTTCTCCTTTTCCATTAAAATATTGTACAGTTAGTGTATTCGTAAGTGCTGTCACTAGTTCAGTCCATACTTAATGTTTCTTTTAGAAATGTAATTGAAACTAGCAAGAGCACAAGCAAATAAATACCTACAGAAACTTGCAGCTAAATGAATTAACGCTTAGCTGAAGTAGTGGTGGTATTCAGAAGCACCAGGGTTGTGAAGATGTGTATTACACCGTACAATTCATAATGGAGTTTGGACTAGGACATTGGATTTCAGTTCTGTGAATGAAAGACTTGATTCTTCCTAAAATGCTTAACAAGCAGAAAACAAACTTACCAACTATGTGGCTACAAATATAATTGGTTAGGTTAGAATTAATTCAGAGCAGCATCCTTTAAGTAAGTGGTTTAAGAGATCTTTTTGTCTCATTTGATTTAAATCTACCTAACTAACGTGACAGAAGTCTTGTGCAGAATATTCGTTAAGAAGTTTTAGAATTAAATCTTGTTTTATGTCCAACACTGAGACTTCTGTGAAAAGTCATTGAGGAAGCTTCCACGACAGACATTGCATTGAAGACTTAGGTCACTAACAAGCATCATGAAATCTTTTCTTTGCAGCACTTGCCCAAAATATTCACGTATTTCTCTCATTTGCACAAGGAATTTGAATTCTCTACTGAGAGCAAATCAGCCCTGTTGGGAGAAAAACAGTTTGTGGCCATCCTGCAGTCTGACTAATTAGGTGATGATACTGCTCTGAGGGAAGGGAGTCTTGAAAGTCACTTAGAAATGTATGTGCTGGTTTCTAGGGGTAAAAACTACAACAGAGCAAACAACAAGGACAAGAAAAACACCAAACAAAAAACTCTTCTTAAAACCCCGTGTTGAAGAATTGCAGTATTGACCATTAATCTCATGCTGATACCTGAAGATTCAAAAACATCATACAAGGAACCATAGGGTGATACCTAAAAAATTCAAACTCCACCAAACCACCTCACCTGAAAAACTTATTTTTTCTCTCTTTTGAAGACTGCGCTACAGAAAGTTTTTAAAAGCCACTCGAGGCCCACTTCAGCAGTAGGAGCTCAAGCATTTTTACTGAACATCAATTTGCTTTGCGTTCTTGCCTATTCACCAGCTCCAGTTAAGAAACATGAGCGCTTTGGACTTAGTCTGGGGTTTGTAGTATTTTAAAACATAGTTTGAAAATCTTCAAAAAACAGGTACATTAGCTGAAGGTGATGACACCGAGTAATTTTTAATACAGTTGGGTTGATATGCTCTACTTGCCTTATGCTGCTTTTGATTCATGTATTTTTGCCCATAACTTGAGTCTGGATTTCAGTTAACTTCAATAAAGAGCAAATTTTTAATTTAATAAAATACTCACTAGTAAATTCCATGAGTGAATTGCTCATTTATGGCCCTCACATATTGAATGGAATTTCCTTTGTTTTTAAAACAAACTGCATTAAGATGGAGCTCTGATTCATACTCCTAATTACACACAAATACGATTGGGATCTGGTAGCTGCAAAAAGAAATCTGAGAAGTGAACATCAACTTGAAGGAGCTCAAAAGTAATATATTCTTGAAATACAGTTGAATTGCTGACAAAAAATTAAGCTCTGCTTTTTTTATTCACTTGTGGAGGTATTGATAGACCTTTTAAAAATGGTTTAGTTTAGGGCTGCAAAAATATGAACTAGCGTGGGACACAGATTACTGTGAGGATATCAGTGATGTCACTCCATACTCTCTTTTCTAGAAGTGGATAATTCACAGTAGGAGAAATCGTAAGTGTTGGTATTACTAGTGACACTTGAAATGAGAAGTTAAAAACAAACCCAGAGAGTTTATATGAGGGAGTTGTTTGCCCTTTTTTACTTAAACAACAAAGCAAAAGCCAAACCACAAACATGCATGCACACCACCCCCCCTCGCAAAATGTTATATTTCAGGACTTCAGCCAGTCACAAGGCCAGTGATTTCTGAGAAGGGCACAACAATCCCGAGCAGTTTGGCAACTTCAGGCCTGAAAACTCCACGCTTTAGTGTGGTACTGAGTTGAAATTGGCTGCAGTCGAAAGGAGGATATGTCAATTCTGCAAGAACGCTTCTGCAAAATGATTGCGCTACACACGAGCGTTCGTCAGAGCGTGTTCTTTGATCTGGGCTGGGCCTCCTCCAAGAAAAGAAGGAAAATCACTTTTATAATACGCAAATAATGTCTTGATTTTTTTTTTTTTTTAAATAAAAGGAAGTCAGTTGTGCTGAGTTGTGAGATATGCGCGACTGCTAGGAACCAGTCTGAGATAACTGACTCTTTTCAGTTTGGTTACTGATAAGCTAATATCGAAAGCTAATGAACAAACGACTTCTATTATGACAAATTGCATGGATTTATTTTTTCATAATGTAGACAGTTATGTTTTGCAGATAACAATATGAAGTGTTAGGTTTCCCCCCAGCTGTTTTACTAAGTAAACTGGGAAGTGAGAATTAATTCTGAAAGCTATTGCAATTAGCATTACTATTATAACTTTCAGTACATTTTTTTCAAGTGATAAAATCCCTGTTATGAAGTAGTTATGTTGGAGGAAGGAACATATGCAAAGGACGAAGTCAGTTGTCTATTTTTTAAAAAAAAATAATAATTATTACATTTTTTTGTCACTAAGGGGAAAAAAATCCAAGATTCACAGGACCGAGGGCTAAGATTTAAGTACTTTGAAAACAAAAGGTGTCATGATTTGGGTATAGTAGAAGGAGATCGTTAAGACTGAGCATTTTTATGTTCCTGCCAACAATAAATGTTTCAGTTCTGTATATTGGAGGAGGGTGTGTGTGTGTGCACTTGCATCATACTTTCTCGGCCATTAATAAACAAGGAGGCTGTTAAGCAACGTCTAATAAGTATTTTTTAAATAGGCCAACTTGGATAAACTGGAGCACAGGCAGATTGTCAGGGAAGATCTGTGGCCTGCTCTTGAATTTCTTATTGTTGGAATGCTGGAGGGAATTCCAGGCAAATGTAGGTGTGCAGCTGCTGCAGTAGCTGGAGATGGCAAATGGGATGATCTTGGTAGTGGCATCGCAGTTTCTTAAGAGCCTTGACCCAAATCATGGAGAGCTGGTGCAAAATACTGAGGGAGGCGATGGTGTCGGCTGGAGTGGAAGGAAAAGAGGCCACATCACACAAGCCTAATCTTATTTTCCGGTAAGGGGCAGTCTCTTGGTGCTATGTACGTCATATCAACATTTTAGGACGGATGGTAAAAGCAAATTATAAGAAATAAAAAAAAGAGAACGAAAAAATCCTGCTTTTAGTGCTAGAGAGTTAAAAGGAAAGGGAGAAATAGTTTATCAAAAATAAGAGTGGGGACTGTGACCAGTGCTCCACAGCTGCACATGTGCACCCATATGCCAGGCTGGGAAGAAGTTAGCTGATGCTTAGTCATTAGGTTTTATCTGTTTGAGAAACTCAAAGACTGAATGACTAGAAACTTCAGCTAAACAATTTCAGCTTAAAAGTTAACGGTGCAACTTTAGTCAAGAAGATGAAAAAGTACTAAAACAAAATATTGAAGTGTTAGGTTTTCCAGATATTGATGTCAAAGCAAGATGGATTTGGATAAATAATTAGTTTAGTAGATGTAAATTGCAAAGCTTCCTATGGATGTGACTGTGAAATTCAGTATCCCTGAAACTGAGTTCA